AGTATTATTAATACAACCAATAAGAAGAACTTGACTAAGATATGTACTATGGTAACTACTAGTAGAAACAGCATAATATTCATACTGAGTGACTCCTGGGTATTCATGATATGGTAAAATGAGATGATCAATGAAAATGTTATAAAATGATGCACTTATTGGCTGATCACTTTTTATTTTGATTCCTTTATATCGTTCTCCAAAAGAAGTAGAATGTGTTTGAAAACTTGAAGGAACATAGACATATGAATGTGGGATATTTTTTGTTACCACTCCATTATGAACATAATTGAATGATTCAACAGTGATATCATACGTGACACTCAGAGAGGATAAAGTTGAAACTGTTAACCATCCTTTGATATTTGTCATTAATCCAAAGTAAAAACTATTAGCAGAATTACCATACTTTTGTCCTATAATAGCAAAATTAAAATAATATTACTATTAAATTTTTACACTGAATAATAAATACCAGATTGGCACATGAACAACTATCAAATCAATCAAGCTTGTGATAAAGTAGCATATTCTTTTGGCTATTGGCCTTCGTGTAAATTTTATTAAATAATATTGCAGCACTAACATAAATAGATTTATTATTGTTATGACAACTATTGGCGCTCATTGGAAAAGAATACATGTGCGTAATAGCTATCATGTGTCTTTTGAAAAAAGGACTTGTTTGAAGCTATAAATTTAGACAAAGGTCAAGGCTTCATTAAAATATTATCAGTTTATTAATCCTTTAAAATCATTATTCTTACCAGTACAGTTTTTATATTGTGTTAGATATTGTCTTGTTTTGTGACAGAATGGTCTACGTGAACACTTGTTCTCTATCATACACCAACCACAAGATGGATCACCTAAACTAACACACTCAGAGCAACTAGTAGCACTGGAACAATCCTCTATCTTTAATCCAATCACCTAATACACAACACAATAGAAACTTAAATTCTATTACTCTTCTGGATCTATACTTTGTGGCCTCTAGTAGACCACTTTTCCATTTCATGCAGGCAACAAAAATACAAACAATTGAAAATTGTATTTACAAAATTGCCTAGTATTGGAACTCATGAGGCTATTGAATAACAAACACGATCATATTTTATTTTATGAACCAAAGCAAACATGATTTTAACAGATTCATCATAGCTTATCATTTTACTGTACTTACATTAGATCCACTGATGCCATACACATACTCTGAACCTTGAGACCAGAATAATGATGTAACTGGAGAGGTTGATGTATCTTGAGATACAAATGTAAGGCTTGTACTATTGACCAACTGATACTGTAGGATTTGTAATAAACTATAATTAAGATTATTGACCACTAACCTTACTGATGTAATTGTTGCTATTTAATGTAAACGCAAAGTAAATGAAATCAATATTATCAATTGACAACCCAACAATAGCAGTTAATCCATTCAGTATAGTAGTGTTAGTAATTAGACTAGTGGGAGTGAGAGGGTTTGATGCACCAACTGCTGGAGCTGGAGTACCACTTCTTGAATCAGATATACTACACTGTTAGGAGATACAATTAAAATACTGTAGATTAAAACTCACAATACTTCCAGATAAACCAGGCGATCCTCCTGAACATGTTACAGAACTCTGCCAAAAGACGTTCTTGTTACCAGTACCATCAACAACACATGATTTATAAGCAGCATCCATTAAAGAGTTAATCTTAGACAGGTTGTATGAACAAATATCATCCACTGAATCAGCACGTATTGCAATTAACAATGTCTCTTCATTAATAACAGATACATCAATCAGAGTAGGACTAAAGAAAGCAGCATTACCATCACAACCTAAAGTCAGTTCATATTGATTGTTGAAACCATTAGCTGCACTGTCATTACATACTCTTACTATACGAAGTCGTCTGTTAGCACCACTTGTTGGAGGATCACTAACAACGTAATAAGCATATCCTGATGCAAAGAAACCACTCACAAATACACGATTAAAAAATGAAGCCTGTTGATCTCCAGCATTAGTAGATCTTGACAGTGCGCTACTAGCAAACCCATACTGACGATATAGAATATGTTGATTAACATAGCTCCCAGTATAAAAGCTGTTACCATCTCCTCCAGTAAACACTACCAGACTAGTAGCAGTCCCGCTGTTAGTCACTGTTCTATTAGCAGGAGCTTCAAAGTTAGGCCCATTAAGAACAGAACATGTTATACCACCAGCATCAGTACACACTATACACCATTCACCATCTGAAGTACTGGCTATTCCATTAACAGTACCACCGAGAGACCCAAGAGGGTCCTCTATTTGTTGTAAGGTAGGGGAGAACCGGTACACTTGAGTAGCAGTGCTTACAAAGACTCCATTAGCACTAACAGCAATATGAGTCACTGTACTGGATAGAGATGAAGAGGTAAGCGGCTGAGAACTAACAAATAGAAATAAGAAAGCAGCAACCGTTAGTGTGAGGACTTTCTTCATGACTCAGTTCTTAGTCTGCTCAGATTGGGCGGTGTCTTCCGGTATCTAGTCTAGTATCTAGAATCTAGATTTACTGCTTTGCTAAAAAAACTTTCTTTGCTA